TGAAATCTCGGGTCACCACCACCTCTGCCTCCCGGATTCAAGCGATTCCCCTGCCTCAGCCTCCCGAGTAGCTGAGATTACAGGCATGTGCCACCATGCCCAGCTAATTTTGTATTTTCAGTAGAGACGGGGTTTCACTGTGTTGGTCAGGCTGGTCTTGAACTTCTGATCTCGGGTGATCCACCCACCTCAGCTTCCCAAAGTGCTGGATTACAGGCAGGAGCCACCATGCATGGTCCTCAGTATTTTAAATGTGAACTCCAGAATGCACTCTCCTCCTCCTTACCCTTTCTCTGTTTGTATTTGACTTAGTGATTTATATTTAACATATTGGAGATTTGATACTTAATTTTAAAATTAAATTAATATATTGATAAAATGTATTCAAGATATATTCATTATATTATGTGTTACTTAAATGACTAATTGAATGTCATTTAGTAATGAGTCATTAATATTATTAAGAAATAACATTTGTTAAAAAGTTATTTAATAACTAGCATTCTATTTTGATGAATATAGATTTAAAATACAGACACTACTTAATTGTGAAACACTATCCATGTTTTCTCATACAATGAAATTACTAAGTATTGCATATAAGCACATTCACATGTACTGATCCCATCCTTGTCACTGCCAGTGTCCCTGCATCTTTCTTGATTCCTCCTCTGCAGGGAAGAAGTGATGGGTGGGGGCCCAATGACAGTCCAGGGAGCACACGTAGTTTCTGCTCTTCACTCCTTCCCAGTTAGAGAGAGGAATTTGAGGAAAACAGAATTATATAAAATTATACACAGATACTAAGATATCCATCGCTCTGGCCTCACCTGGAAGTTTCTCGGTGGTGTGGACTTTGAAATGGGTGTACCTTAGCAGACCCAGAAGTAGAATGGAGCCACATAGTGCTCAGACAAAAAGATCTGATGAAGGTATGACACCTTTGTGGAATAGGGAAGGTTGTAGTGCATTACATAAATATTTTGTTATTGGATTTGGGAGACAGTATGTGTTTTGCGATCCTGGCAACTGTCTGTTAAGAGGATCCAGAAAGGAGTTCCAACTTGTGTAATTCTGAGAAAAGAATTTCTGGGATGGCTTTCTTTGTGTGTCTCACTCTTCTGCTTATTTGAAAGGAGGTTAGAACCTGAATATTTGAAAGAAGGTGAGAACGTATCCCCATCATTAACTGACACATGACTGTATTTTATGATTGAATTATTGAGAATTGCTGGCAGATAGTGACAACAAAAAGCAGACTGACTTTTAGTTAGTTTTATTACTTTTTAATAACTTCTCTGCAGGTACCATGTCTTGTTATTGTCTGCACCTGAGGCTAAAAAGATTTAGTGAACATGTTGTGTGAAACTTCTGCAAAGTTTACTTATAGGCAGCTGACCCAGTTAGGAAGAATAATCTCTCGCCCTATTTTTTTCCTCCTTTCTGCAGCGTGTTAGGTGAATGTGATGGTTCGGGCTCTAAAAACCTTCCTGGACCATGAGGGGAACTTGAGGATGGAGGCTAGTGATAGAGTAAAGCAAGAAAAGAGGACTCAGGTCTCTGATCATGTGGATGCACATGAAGGTGACCCCCTACTGAATCACAATCTTGTGTAATGCCCCTTTTGTTGAGTGGGATGAAAACTATGACTTGCTTCTAGTTGATAGAATATGGTAAAAAAGATGAGAAATCACTCCCATGATTATGTTACATTATTTGCAAAGGTGAAAGGATTTTGCAGATGTAATTAGGTCCCTAAGCAGTTGACTTTGAGTTCATCCAAAGAGAAATTATCCTGGGTAAGCCTGAGCTAATCAGGTGAGCCATTTAAAAGAGAAGTACACCTCTGAATTCAGAGGCTCTTAGCAACAGAGACTCCTTTTCTCTGTTGCTTCCTTTAAAGAAACAAGGCCTTATCAATTTTACAGCTGCAAGAAAATAAATTCTGCCAGCAACCTGAGAAATCCTGGAAGTGGATTCTTTCCTAGTTTCCAGATGAGAATGCAGTCCATCAAACACCTTGATATTAGCCTTGTGAGACCACCTAACTAAGCCATATGCCGTCTTGACCTATGGAAACTGTGAGATAATAAATTGTTTTTTGAGCTGGTAGATTTGTGCTAAGTTGTTATGCAATATAGACAACTAATACATCTGTATCCATGTTGTCACCATGACAGTCCAGGAATGCCTCCCCCCAAGCTTCTTTAATATAAGCAAGAATTAAATTTGTCACTTCTTTAAGTCGTTGTGATTTTGTTTTCATCTATAGTCAGCTGAACCCAATCTTAACTGATTCATGGCATAATGAAGAAGGATTTATGGAAGATGAATCATTTGTGGTTGATCTTGAAAAGTGGATATAGTTTCAGAAGGTGGAAACTGGCATGGCTGGTGACAGAAAATAATTTTTATAGGACAGAATGAGTCAGGGAAAGTACGGGTGTTTTGAAGAAATAAACAATAATTCAGTTTCTCTTGGTTGAGTGGAATTAGGCTACAAAGGGCGATTAGAGCCAAATAACACATCTAAAAAGAGTTTGGGGATTATTTTTTAAGCAATGGAGAACAATGAAGATTTTCTGACCAGGTTATAGCATGATCAGAGCTTTGCCTTACTTTAAAAATGCAGCATGAGTCAGTCCTCTTTAGGCTGCAAAAACATATCTCAAAGTAGATTTTTTCTTAAGGAGGCTTATGGTGAGAATATTCAGAAAGAGCAGCAGGAACCAAAAATTAGGGACCTTGTTACTACAAACTTATTGCAGCAGAGAATGAGCATTGCCGCTAACTGCTGCTCACCAAAGGGGAAAGAAGGGACTTCCCTGCCAGTTCTGGTAAAGACAGCATTTCTGGAAGACGCACTTTGATTGAGCAACCTTGGAATCATCCCAAGAGCCAGAACATGGGATACAGTGATTGGCCCGGGCCTGACCTGGCTGTGTGTGTGAGGGATGTCTGCTACTAGATAGAGGAGCCTGGGAAATAAAAACAAAACGATTATTGGTGCAATTTGAATTTCACAATTCTGTCTTTTTACATCAAAGCCTCGAGGACAGATGACACATTCATTTACACCCCCACTAAGAGAATAACATTTTAGTTGAATTTACATTGAATTCAGGAGTTGAAATATGCACCAAAGGTTATTCACAGTTTTTTTTAAAAATTGTTTTTTCTTATCACTATCAACATCAACTAAACTATATAATTGAAACTAGTTTCCACTATAAAAGTTCTTAGTGCTTAATTATTTACTGCATGTCCAAGTGTATAAAACACTGTGTTATACTTATGGGGTCTATCATTTGAAGAAAAGGGAATTTCAGAATAGCTATTTACAGGTACTTCCAAGTTCTTGAAATAATCTAAGTGAAGTACTGACTTCGTATTTATGAAACCAACATGTTTGCTCAAATGTATTAGTAGACTTAGATACATAATTGTTAAATGACATCTCAGGCTATCTGAGAAACATACTGCTTTAACCCATACATTTTACCAGGCATACTTCAAGTACTACCTGTGACATGTTTGAAAAGTTTAGGATCTTTTCCCAAATTCCTGGATATATTGACCGTGTATACATTTTTATTTGGAAATATTCAAGCACATAAATCTGACTCCAAATCTTTAATAGACACACAGAAATACAAAGCTCAGGAATCAAAGATGCAGCATTTAAAATGCCCAAAATGATGTTTCAAAAAATGAGGATGAAATACTTGGAAGACTTCCCGTCAGCTCCCTGGTGGGTGTAGCTGCTGCATTTCACCACTAGGTGCTACTCTTCCTCCATCACATACTGAATCTGTAGTCTCAAAAGCAAAGGGGATGCAAAATCTACCTAGTTCCTTATCTCCTGGCTACCGTTTAAACATAAGGTATGACTTTATTTCCTGTATTTACTCATTACTATAATCATACAGTGTTTTTAGAGTGGTTGGCAAAGCACTTAACACTGTAGAAAGTGAAATATATATCTGCCTCCTATAGTATCACCCCATGCCATGTGTCAGAAAACTAAAGACTATATCAATATCCCCAGTTGCTGTTACTTTCTTATTGATCTAAGGAAGGGTCATAATCTCATTAAAAAATCATTGCTATGCCTGTCATTTTCCTCTGGAATTTTCCTCTCAAATTACAAGTGAGATAATAAATTCTAAATTATTAGTTATGTGTTACCAGTCACTCAATGGTATTAATACAGTGCACATCTGTGAAAGAGGCAATGTATGGAATCTGTTTATAGTCCCATGATAAATGTTTAAGATAGAGGGTGGGCAGCTGAGAGATAAGGATCCCTGTTTGTTTAACTTGCCTGGAAGCATTTCTCTATCCTCTGCTTGTGAACACATAGTAAAAATCTTTGAAGATAAAGAGACAAACCGCTTTCATATTTACGTCCACCTGGCCCTTTGGAGAGGAGATGTATTCATTTTCTTAAGGCATCTGACTTTAACAAGACAATTCTAAATTACTGAGACTTTTAACTTTTCTTTTCCCAATGTTTAAAAATATGAGACAAGAAACAACTAAAAGTTAAATAAACTGATTTAAAAATTAAAAGCAGCCAACAGACCAAATTAGATGCTTAGGACATATGCATTCCCTTCTTCCCTTCGATTCAGCCATCCAGTTTGACTGTTCACTCACTGACATTCATCCATTTATTCACTGACCAAACTTTTCTTGAGTAAGCTCATGCATTTCAGATGCAGAAAGGAAATGAAATGGTATCTATTTTGTAGAAGCTTGAAGTTTAGAGTAAAGGGGGCGCTGGTGAGAAAGAGAGCTCGTTGAACATATATATACACAGAAAACTGACATAGTCAGCTGATGGGTTCATCTTTCATTTAGGTGTGATGATAGATATGAATATAAGGATCTTTGGGTAATTTTAATGCACCTTGAGGCTAAATAGACAAAAATGTTTCAGTGTCTGAATACATGTGTTGCCAGACCTGCTGATGACTTTGCTCTCCATTGCCTGTTAGCCCTCCAGGTAAAATGCTCCCAGCTTCCGGCCCTTGCTATGCCATTGCAACAGCATGCGACCACAAGACTAAGTTTTGGCCTTTTGATGCGACCGTGTTGGGCAGGACTTCGGGACAGGTGGGTTGCCAGGTGTTATCTGCTTTCATCTTGACCATCAGCACGTGCCACAGTTGTGACTGGTGAGATCTATTCCCTTTCATGCTAATTGGGTCAGGGAAATTGTGGAAATAAAACTTAGGTTTTGTTTTACTCACATCTGTTGAGTCTAGTTTCCCTCTTAAGGACCCATTCTGATAATAGAAGCAAGAACCTGCTTTTTAACTTTGGAAGTAGGAAATTAGTCTTCAGCCAGACAGAAATAGATAGACCTGTTATAAAGATTAAATCTAGCAATTTGACCTCCTTAACGCAAGCAAGAGTATAAGTCACCAATAAAGTTTACCTTTGAAGGTCAAAAGAGAAGTTAAGTGAAGGGAATATTGATCAATCCAGGAGAAGCTGAAAAGGCTCCGCTGTCACAGTGGGCTGTAAGCTGCAGACGTGCATTGTTAGTAAAGGAGGTTAAAGCGGCAGTGAGACAGAGGCAGCTAAGGCTAGAGGTGGGAAACGATCCTCCCATTATCCCCTCTTGGTTAGAAATCCCATTATATTCTCTGTTGGCTTCCTGGACCCCTCCTTTGTGGAGAAAATAATATTGAAGAGTAATCGATGTCTTTAAGCGCTATTTTGAGAAAGCCCCACTCACTCATTCCCTCATTTTCCTCCTTGTACAGCTTGTATTCATTCCATCACTTTAATAATTCCCTTGTCTACCCCTTCAACTCCCTACCTGAGTAAATCTAACTTTTAGCTTCACCTGAGTAGCTAAAAATAGCTGGAGAAAAAACATGTGCCTTTTGGTCTTCCTGTTTGGGATGCATTTTTATTCCTTTACCCTGCTGATAGGACAATCAGAGAGTTCATGCACTTTTCTTCTCTTGATTGAACATCTGGAGGTTTGATCAGAACCCTTTAAGGATCTAACATACGTTAATATATATTTGGCCTTTCTTCAGTGCTCTGATGAAGCATTCAGGGATAATAATTGGGTCAGTTAAAATAATATTATTCTTAAAGATCGTTACACGTTATTTGAAACTTATAACATCAAATAATTCATTATACCAATAATTTAAAGATATTCAGTTAAAGCAGATTGAACATACCTACATTATTTTGTCTATGGTATTATTTTTTTCTTGGCACTCTTCCTATGTGGTGTAAAAGAAAAATTTAACCGAGCCCCTGTTATTTTCTTAATCAGTCAGGTTCATTCAACCTATATTTGTTAAGTGGATTATGAATATGATAAACTGTGGCTTGCTTTTTCTAATTGTAAAATTTGATTAATATCTACATCCTTTGCTGAGGATAGGAACCTTTTCTGCCTTAGACATAGCTGTATACCAGCACCTAACAGTGTGTTACATGAGGGAGGTGCTCAACAAATGGAGATGACTACTTTCATTGACCAAAAGGGCATCCCTGAATATATGTAGAGCAGTTGAGGATGGGACAGTAGAACTTCTAGTTTAAAGAGCTAGAAGGATCAGAAGGATGATGGACAAGGAATTAGATAATTCAAATATATGTAAAGTCCTTAACCACAGAACGGTGATCCCGTGTGCTGTGGTATATTAAGGGCATCTTGTCTTATATTAAATTTGGTACGGTAAAGTGAAAATTCTAGATTATGACAATGTCACAATTGGACAATTCCTGAGATGAACAGAATCTTTTTCTTTCTATCTGTAGTATCTCTGTATATCTATGGATAGGATATTTGTAAACAATTATGAAAGCAGGGTAATAGACTGCTTTGGGGAATGGCTCAAGGGTAAATAATTACAGGGATTGTGAAAATCTGTTTGCTTTATTTTTTTAAGTTAATAGACTTTGTTTCACAGGGCAGTTTTAGGTTTACAAAAAAATTGAACAAATAGTATAGCAATTTTATATACTTTTCTTGTTTTCTCTGCAGTTTCCTTTATTACTACGTTGCATTGGTATGGTACATTTGTTGTGATTGATTAACCAATATGAATCTATTGTTATTAACTAGAGTCCATATTTTGCATTAGGATTCACTCTGCATTGTACAGTTCTATAGGTTTTGCCAAATGTGTAATGACTGCTTCAGTTTTTATCCATCATAAGAACTAAATGATACAAGGTTTTGATAGAATGAATAGGCAAGAAACCAATATAATTAAAAAATTAATCCATGCAATAAAATGCTTTAAATTATGTGAAATGGTGCTGTATTATTTACCACATTCTTTACTTGCACTGTAACATACTTATAAAAGTAGATATATTAGTAAATGTACACTGGTTATTCTTGTATGGTTGAATTTATTGAAATAAATGAATATTGTCTTTACATTTAGTCAAATATTTAACAGCAAGAAAAAATTATGTCATTAAAAAATCTGCTAATCACTGGATATTCAAGGATCTCAGACGTGATTGATCTGTTTGGCACAGGTCCTGAGACATAGGGAAGATACAGGACATACTAATTGTTGGTTACGATTATAAGTTCTCTAACATGAGAGCTGGTAAATCAAGTTTGATCCCTGAAATTGTGAGAGAAGATTAGGAAAAAAATGCCTATTTTTGCATAAGCAGTTGGTGAGGAAAATTGTTCTCTTACATTAGAAAGGAAGTAGAAATTGTCTAATGCAGTTTCTTAGCTGAAATCATGAGTCCCTTCTGTGTTGCCTGTCTGCAAGTAAGATCTACAGCAGCGAAGTCAATTCAGTTCTTGTTTGATATGGTTTGGCTCTCTGTCCCCACCCAAATCTCATTTTGTGGCTCCCATAATTCCCATGTGTTATAGGAGGGACCCAGTGGGAGATGATTGAATTATAGGGGTGGGTCTTTCCCATTCTGTTCTTGTGATAGTAAGTGGGTCTCATGAGACCTGATGGTTTTAAAAACAGGAGTTTCTCTGCACAAGTTCTTTCTTTGCCTGCTGCCATCTATATAAGATGTGACTTGCTCCTCCTTGCCTTCTGCCATGATTATGAGGCCTCACCAGGCACATAGAACTGTAAATCCAATAAAACTCCATCTTTTGTGAATTGCCCAGTCTCATGTATATCTTTATCAGCAGCATGAAAATGGACTAATATGGTAAATTGGTACCAGGAGTAGGATGTTACTGAAAAGATACTTGAAAGTGTGGAAGTCACTTTAGAACTGGTTAACAGGCAGAAGTTGGAAAGTTTGGAGAGCTCAGAAGACAACAGGAAAATGTGGGAAAGTTTGGAACTTCCGAGAAACTTGTTGAATGGCTTTGACAAAAATGCTGGAAATGATATGAACAATAATGTCCAGGCTAAGATGGTCTCAGATGGAAGTGGGGAACTTTTTGGAAACTGCAGCAAAGGTGGCTCTTGTTATGTTTTAGCAAAGAGACTGGCAGCATTTTGCCCCTGCCCTAGAGATTTGTGGAACTTTGAACTTGAGAAAGATGATTTGGGCTATCTTGGCAGAAGAAATTAATAAGCAGAAAAGCATTCAAGAGGTGACCTGGTGCTGTTAAAAGCATTCAGTTTTATAAGGGGAGCAGAGCACAAACGCTTGGAAAATTTGCAGCCTAACAGTGCAATATAAGACAATCTCATTTTCTCAGGAGAAATTCTAGCCAGCTGCAGAAATTTGCATAAGTAACGAGGAACTTAATGTCAATCTACCAGACAATGGGGAAAATGTCTCCAGGGCATGTCAGAAGTCTTCACAGCAGCCCTTCCCATCACAGGTCTGGAGGCCTGGGGGAAAAAGTGGTTTTGTGGGGCAGGCCCAGGGTTCCTGTGCTATGTGCAGCCTTGAGACTTGCTGCCCTGCATCCCAGCCACTCCAGCTCTGGGTGAAAGGGGCCAACATAGAGCTAGGTCTGTGGATTTAGAGGGTGCAAGCCTCAAGCGTTGGCAGCTTCCACATGGCGTTGAGCCTGCAAATGCACAGAAGTCAAAAATTGGGGTTTGGGAACCTCTACCTAGACTTCAGAAGGTGTATGGAAATACCTGGATGCCCAGGCAGAAGTTTGCTCTAGGGTTGGGATCTCATGTAAAATCTCTGCTAGGGCAGTGCAGAAGGGAAATATGGGGTTGGAGCTCCCACACAGTCCCTACTGGGGCACTACCTAGTGGAGCTGTGAGATGAGGGCCACTGTCCTCCAGAGCCCAGAATAGTTGGTACACTGACAGCTTGCACTGTGTGTCTGGAAAAGCCACAGACACTCAATGCCAGCCTGTGAAAGCAGCCAGAAAGGAGGCTGTGCCCTGCAAAGCCACATGGGTGGAGCTGCCCAAGACTATGGGAACCCACCTCTTGCATCAGTGTGACCTGGATGTGTGACATGGACTCAAAGGAGATCATTATGGAGCTTTAAAATTTGACTGGCCTGCTAGAGTTCAGACTTGCATGGACCCTGTAGCCCTTTTGTTTTGGCCAATTTCTCCCATTTGGAATGGCTATATTTACTTACTGGCTATACCCCATTGTATCTAAAAAGTAACTAACTTGCTTTTGATTTTATAGGCTCATGGTGGAAGGGACTTGCCTTGTCTTGGATGAGACTTTGAACTGTGAACATTTGAGTTAATGCTGAAATGAACTGAGACTTTGGGGGACTGTTGGGAAGGCATGATTGGTTTTGAAATGTGAAGATATGAGTTTTGGGAGGGGCCAGGGGAAGAATGATATGGTTTGGCTCTGTGTCCCCACGCAAATCTCATCTCATAGCTCCCATAATTCCCACATATTGTAGGAGAGACCCAGTGGGAGATAATTGAATCATGGGGGCAGGTCTTTCCCATGCTGTTCTTGTGGTAGTGAATGGGTCTCACAAGATCTGATGGTTTTAAAAATGGGAGTTTCTCTGCACAAGCTCTTTCTTTGCCTTGTGCCATCCATGTAAGATGTGACTTGTTCTTCCTTGCCTTCTGCCATGATTGTGAGGCCTCCTTAGCAATATGAAACTGTAAGTCCAATGAAACTCTTTCTTTTGTAAAGTGCCAGTCTCATGTATGTCTTTATCAGCAGTGTGAAAACAGACTAATACATTGTTGAAGTGAACTTTCCTATAAACGAGTGGCTCAATTGTTCAAAAAGTTTTTCTTTAACTTCTACTAGTTTTGTCCATTGGTGTCAGAAGCAACACAGCTGTGCTATGGTCTAAATGTTTGTGTTTCCTTCAAATTCCTATGTTGAAACCAAATCCCCAATATGATGGCATTAAGAGGTGGTCTTGGGAGACGATCATGTTCTCATGAATGGAATTAGTGCCCTAGTAAAAGAGGGCTGAGGGATCTTGTTTGCCTCTTCCACTATGTGGGACATGGAGAGAAGGAGCCATCTACAAACCAGGAAATAGACCCTCACTAGACACTAATCCCCTGATGATTTGATTTTGGACTTCTCAGCCATGAGAACTGTGAGACACACCTTCCTGTTGTTTATAATCCACCCAGTTTATGGTGTTTTGTTAGAGCAAGGTGAACAGACTGAGACAACCTGCCACGCTGCCTCCAGTAATACTGTCTAAAATTAAGAAAATCTTGTTATGACATTGTTTTTGGATCCTTCACAAGCTTGCTTATACTCCATCAAATACACTGTTGCCCATTAAGATAACTCTTAAGATCGTGATGCCTAGACTGAAACATATGTAAATGCCAGGTGTAGTTTTACTCTCAGTTATTGTTTTTCTACCATCACATCCTTAGCTTTGATCTGTAAGAGGAAAGGTTTGACTTAAATAATTTCTAAGGTTCTTTCCAGTGTTGAAAAGCGATTGTATTTGGTGTTTGTGCCTGTGCATGTTACAGTCATGCCACTGTATTGGCTTCTTGAACTTGCAGTAGGTACAGACTCGCAGGTCACTTTTCATGTAAACTGCTGCTAAACTGTGTCATAAGCAACTGCAAGGCTTTACATTTACCCTTATTACATCCTCTCTTGTGTGCTTCTCTTTCTTGCTGAAACCTATGTGGATAATTTGGAATGTTAATTCCATATTTGTCTGGTTAGCTTCCTAAGCTCTGTGTAACTATATATTTTATTGGCATAATTCCTACATGTTCAATTTATTGATAAAATAAAAATTTGATAGAAAAAAGCTAAAAGAGAATCTTGCTCCTAACCCTTTCTCTTCAGTTATGCATTGTTTCATTCATCTATAATCTTTGAATATGTCTGTGTTTATCAACCATCTAATTGATATTATTGTCCAGCCCACATTTCTCTATCTTGTCGAAAAAGATCATGAATGAGCTATCAGATACCTTGCCAAAATATAATATGCTTATGTCTACTATTATCACAATGCTGAGATATTAGCAATGCTGAAAAAAAGTGTTTTGTTTGACCTGACTTACTTGAGGTCAGCTATGAATAGTGTCTTTTCTGTTTCTCTAGAAACCCCTGACTCATGCAGGAAGGTAACTTCTCACCCTATGATCTTCACCTGTGGCATGTCTCTGCTATTTTGCTACTCACTCCCTTTGATATAATACAGGTTCTCATGGGCCAAGGACCTGTGGAACTATCCATGATTTCTGGCAAGACCAGGAACACAGCAGGTGCTCTATAAATATTTGAAGGG